AATCAAGAAGTATTTTCCATTGTTAATTTATACTCAAGTTAAAAAGTTACCATCTCACCATTTATTTTTTGGACAGACGAAGAAGACGGACTCTATCCTCTCTCCAGGGAACAGTGTCTGGCTGACAGGTCTAATACAGGCCTTCCCCCAGTGCCAAATCGTTTGAAATTCATTTCTCCTGTGACAAAAGCCCTAAATTTCAGGTATCAAAATATAAGAACCCAGAAAATTAGCCTGCTACTGTATTGCCAAATCCCCTCACCACTTCGAAAGTTTCAGTGTCACAGAGCAGGAACGTGCATCTTCATTGTTATCTGACTGTAGTGAGATGAGTGGCAGATAATCATCTTAGCTCAGTTATGGAAGACTCACTTGCTATATCTGAAGAGTTGGCCCACTGTGTATTAAAAATACAGAATTCTTATGAAAATTATTTTTTTTAATCTGCCTCAATCCAAAACAGTTTATCTTAAAGCAACTGTCCCTTAAAGCTTGATTGCTGAATGTTCTGCTATATTGTTACTATAAAAAAACTCAGTTTATGGTGGGCTCAGGTTGCTAATTTTTTTTAATAGGACTTTGAACACAATGTTTATAAAAAAAATGAACCTAAAATGCTAGAATGAAGGATAGTCAGATTTGCATGCAGCTAAATATATATCATATGCATCTCGGTTCCATATTTTGGTTACACACCAGGGTGTATGTATGTACAGAGCTAATGGTGTAATCACACCATCATCTATCTCAAAATGCACATCTAAATCTGACTCTCTTAAAAGATTATTTAACCAGAAGTGCATTTCCAGTTATAAATAAGGAAAAGGATATACAGTGAACTAAGGAACAGCTGTTTAAAACATTAAATACATCCCAGGTAACTGTTGCAATTATTCAGAAAAGATGAGGAAGGAAAAAGAAAAAAAAAGGAAAAAGGAAAGAAAAGATAATCCTACTCCCTAACCTGTGCGTTCAGTATACAAAAAGCTACCTTACATGTGCAGAAACTAAGTTTTAATACTACAGTCACCACCACAATACATGAGCAACAGTGTTTAATTTATGTATGAATTAGCCAGGCTATCAATAAAACAATTTAATTATCAGTAAATACTACTGTTTTTGTTGGGGGGCTTTTTATACCAAACACTGGTAAAATTATTACCTAATACCAGGACCTGGAAACATATGTTAGCCTTACTGTATATCCCAACATCTTGAAGCTAGATTCCTTATGCATTAATAAAAAATTCTGCTCCTATTGATACAAGATCCCTGATTCTTCATACAAAACTCCTTCTTTGGTAAAATTGGCTTCAACATGCACAAGTTTTTACCCAAGAGAAGGCTGCAATATCAAGGTAAGATATAGATAAGATTTTCATTACTGTAGGAGAGTTGCTGAAAACTGAACTGTATTGACTAACTGTTCCCAGGTTACCACACCCTGAACTACATACAGAACCTCTTTTATGCTCAGATGACAGTAGGATAATTACGTCTTGTACACTCATTTACCTACAGCAGGTCAACCAAGGGCTGGAAGGCACAACTTGGCATGAAGTCCCAGGAGAGGAGAATGTACTAGTTTGGTTCAGCCAGGGAAGATTATGTGTGTTTACTAATAATACCCTAAGGAAATACAGGTTAGTGTTTCTATTATGAAAAGAATAACTGTCCAGTCAAGTATAAATGGTGATTTCACTGCTTGCAAAAAAAAAAAAAAAAAAAAAG